ATCCTAGGCGAAGAAATTCTGTTCGACGCGCTTCGCATTGCACTAGTGAGCGGAGGTTTACGGAAGTCATGGGAAAATCCGAATTTCGTTTGTCATCGACTACTTTCAAAGTGTCGCTTACTGAAAAAAAAGTACCCACCTTCACTAATATGTGCTAATATTGCTAATGTATAGTTGGTTAGTACCTACTTGTATTTTACACCTGTAGGTACTGATCTAAAGTGAAGACGGTATGGATGACGAAACATTTGTTTTGATTGTTCAAAATTATAAAGAAGTATATGATGTTTCGGATCAGAGCTACCACCAGATGAGAAAACACTACCACAACCAGATGAAATTTTTTATGCTGCTGCTGTGTATTTAGTTGCACTAGAGCGACGAGTTCAGTAAATTTTTCTGGGCTCATTCTATAATACTGAAAAAAGTTGTTTTCATCTTTGAGCAAATTGCCATGAAGGTGGTGAAATTTTCCGTAAATTTCATTTTTTAAATTTATCTTCTGAATCCAAGGTTTTCTTTTACGATTCATATTCTGTTCTTCTTCTTCAGCTATTGCACATGCAATACCAAAGTCTTCTTCCGAACTGCTACTCGATGTCATTACTTCAAAAACTATCATTACCTACTTCAACGCCAAAATACAACTGCGTTTGACTCCAAACCGAACAACAACGTACTGTCCCTCCTTGTATATAAGCGAAAAACCGTGCAAATATTAGCTCTCATTTCTAAACTTCGTCACGCCGTGTTTCGCTTCTCTCTGCTTCTCCGCGCTTAAGTGAGCGACAAGCTTAATACCGTTGTGAGAAATTTTTGGAAAAAAAAAACTCGCTTTCAGTAAAAACTAGTGTTTAAAGCGATAAGAGTAAGTACGGTTATTTAGAATTCGGAACAGCAATACTGGTGGAACCCTGTCCGTTAGTTTTAAGACGTTGCCAAAGTTAAAAATAATTCTGCTAACTGAGGACTGAGAGGAACTGGATTTTTGAGCGGGTGGAGCGGATCTAGTTCCTTTTGCGGTCCTTAGAAACAAATATGATGCACACGAACAGTGATGATAACACGTCAAAAGGCAAGAAGAGAAAAGATAGAGAGTCAGCTTCACGTTGTCTGCAGAGCAAAAAAACTACCAGAACCTAAAGCAAAAGAAAACCAAAGGAAAAAGATTCAGAGGATGAAGACGACGTTATGAGTATGTTCAAAAAGATGATGGGAAAACTGAAAGAAATCACGAATGAAAATAAGGAATATAGAGAAGAGATGATAGCACTGAAAAAAGAAAATATAAAGATAAAGCAAAAATTGGAAGAAACAAAAAAATTAACCGAGGTTGAAAACAAAGTAGAAAGAATTGAAAAACAGATGAAAAGAAATAGCAGATGAAATACTCTTAAAAAATAACAAAAGATTTTATACAAAAGCACATAAAAAAGGATGTCGAAATACAATCTGCAATATGTCTGCTACAAATGAAGGATTATGGCGAAAAAATTAAGGTAATGAAAGAAAAAAGCAAACTCAGATTTCTTACTGGAGAAAAGATCTGCATCAACGATGACCTGACCGAAAAGGAAAGACACATGAGGTATTAAATTATAAATAAAGGCAAAGAATTAAGACCTGAAGGTAAAAACGTGAAGGTAGGGTTCAAAAAACTAACTGTAGATGGCATAAAATGGAAATGGGCCGGAAATGGTATTTTTAAAACGAGAAAATTCTAGAAATATGGACCCAAAAAACGGCATATAGTAGTGGAAAAAGAAAAAGACGGCCCATTATGCCGACGAACACTAGCGATGAACAGGAAAATGAGTTTGAACATAAATACCAAAACAAAAAAATAAGATAACGTACCTAAATATTGCGACATGGAATGTACGAGGAGTATACGAGGAGGGAGCATTAATTAACCCAATAGAAGAATTTAAAAAATATAAAATACACATCATAGCAATACAAGAAACACATTTGACTAGAAACAATACTAAAAAGATTAGACGATACACGTTTTATACAAGTGGAGGTGATAATAGGAATTTTGGAATGGATTTTCTGGTACCTACATGAAGACGAGGAATAGGTAAAACGATTCGTAGCAAAATCAGACAGCATGTATGCAATTAGAATTAAAGGGAAAGAGAACATGATATCGCTGATAAATATACATGCGTCAACAGAAGAAAAAGGAGAAAAAGTGACAGTGAAGAAGGCGACGCCAATTCAAAGGTCGGAAAAGACAGGGGGTAAAAGTAAACATATGCATACTAATGATAATAGCCAAAGATTGATTACATTTGCAATTAAAAACAGGAAACGAACGTGGAAAATCTCGGGATCAAATAAAACTAATCAAATAGACCACATCTTAATATAACAAAAATTCGTCGATTTAATAACAAATGTGAAAACGTACAGAGTGGCTGACGTAGACTCAGAATTAATATGAGAGAAGCAATAATTAAAAAGCAAGTGCAACGTAACTTTAATTTTCAAAAACTGCGAAATTTTGAAGTAGTGCAGGATTATCAAAAGGATATACAAGAAACCTACGCCAAACAAGCTAGTGTTACTGTAAGTAACATACAACAAAATTTATTAAAAATGACAAACACTATACTTAAAGGAAGCAACGGCGAAGAACATACCAAGAACAAAAAGATTTAAAGAAAAACACTCGTTCGATAACGAATGTAGAACAAAGTTCTAAGGGAGCGAAAGCGAAGGTAGGATGGATGATAAAGTAAAGCGTATTGAAGAAAATTACAACATATTATCTGGGTATCGGGGAAGAACGATGAATGTAAAAGATAGACAAGGAAACCTGATAATGAGCGAAGACCAAATATGTGAAAGGTGGAAAGAATATTTCGAAGAGATGTTAAATTACGGAGCGACTACTGAAGAAAATTATAATGTTCCTAAACCTCAAATAGTAATAAAAAAAATACCAAAGCCCACAAGAGACTAAATTGAAAAAAAAAATAAAAGTTATGAAAAATCAAAAAAGCTCTGGGGAGAGCGGCATTGTGGCGGAGAACTTAAAATATGGAGAGGCTTTAATAAACAAACTTAGTGAGCTAATACTAGAAGTTTGGGATACTAAAGAAATGTCTCAAGAATGGAATAAATCGATTTTAATTCCTATACACAAAAAGGGAGATAGAACTGAATGCGCAAACTATAGAGGAATATCCATATTAGAGGTAATATATAAAGTGCTCGCCATACTAACCAAAAACGGTTAGAAATATATGTAGAGAAGAATCTAGGAGAATACCAGGGAGGTATTCAGAAAAGCAGACCAACCACCACTGATCAAATTTTTATGTTAAAACAAATCCTGATCAATAGCTATGAATATAACATTTCAGCACAAGTACTTTTCATTGATTACAAAGCTGCCTACGATACAATAGACACAAACAAATTAATAGAAACGCATAATAATTTTAAGTGGCAGAAAAAATAGTAAGATTGGTAGAAATGACAATTGGACAAACCGTTTGTGCTGTGAAATGCAACGGTATATTCTCTGAAGAATTCGAAGTGAAAAAAGGTGTTCGCCAAGGAGACATGTTGCCTACATTGTTATTCAATATAGTTCTAGAAATTTTTTTAAGGATTAGTGGGATAAATAGGTCCTGCACTGATACTGTGGTTCTCATTGCAAGAAATGGAAAAGAACTGGCAAACATAGCAAAAAGACTGATTAGGGAAAACTCTAAAATGGGACTGAAAGTTAATATTAATAAATCGAAGTACATGGAAATCTCGAGCAAAAAGGAATAAACACCAGGGGATCCTTTAAATTGGAGGTGGAGGATGGATCAGTTGTAGAATTCGAGAAGGCGGATGAATATATGTACTTAGGTACTCTTATTATAGAGATATGGACTATGAACAAAACCATACAGAACAGATTGGAAGCATGGGAAAGAAAGATACTTCGCAGAATGTTTGGTGGAAAAGTAATAGAGGGAGAATGGAGAAGACGAACTAATGCAGAAGTGTATGTACCATCTGTATGCTAACCCTACAATAACAAAAGTTGTGAAAAAACGTAGACTAGAATGGCTCAGACATCTATAGTCTAGAATCTAGAATAGTCAAGATATTGCTTGGGGAGTACCTGAGGGCAAAAAAAGAGAGGAAGACCAAGAAAGAAATGGAGAGATGTAGTTATGGAAGATGTTAGAGAGATGGGAATCAGAGATTGGAAACTGATAGCTATGAACAGAAAACGATGGAAATTATCCATCCAGCAATGGGCCTAAAAGGCCTGTTAACGCTGTACATATAATGTTAATTGACATTCATTAAAAGATTATTTGAATCAATTACCCGGTTTAATTTACAATCATAGGATTTTTTTCGAGTAGGGGCAGTTTTCACAACTGAAAAATAAAAAGCTATTAATGGCACAGGTACAAAAGTAAAGGCTACAGGTAAGAAGAACCTAAATCCAAACTTTCATGAAATTCAGTGCTAACACGGAAAATTACAGGGTTTCGCCGTATTTCACGTTCATTTACTGGCCTAATTTCTTTCTTAATAAGTACCTACTATATTTCTTTACTAATAATAAACAGTACATCTCTGTACCTTAAATCTTTGCAGTATATTTATTTTTTGTATCTTTACTACAAACAGGGTAAAAAATTCATAAGAAAATGCGTAAGCTAGGCACACTAAAAAGTGCAATATTAATGTTTGACTCATTTTTTTCTTTCTCGAATGGATTCCCAAATATTTGTGTCACTGACAAGCTAAAGACGAATATAAAATAGTCTTAATAAAACCTTACACGTAACTTTAACACAAAAATCTATCAAAAATTCAAAACGAATCAAAGGTCCTCTTAAACTAAGCAATTGCGGTATATATAAAGAAATAAAAAATATAAAAATATGCTTAAGTTAAGTAACGTACAAAGAAATCGAACTTAACCTACTCTATGTCTAAATAATACAGTCAATACAAACGAAAAATTAGGTACTCTATATTGCAGGTCTTTCTTGAAAATGCAACTGGGGAACTGGCGACCAGTTGTAGTTATTTTTGTTTTCACAGCACTTTGGCGCAATTATTGCGCTGATACATACAGCAGCCAATATAATTAAAGTAAATGAAAAAGATGTCCTGAACAATCTCCAAAACAATCTATGATTATTTGCACCTGGGTCGTGATCTGGATCTCCAGGAGCTAGTTCCTCACCTTCCTTCTCATAGACGGTACTGTAATAAAGCAAGAATGTTAATTTTATTATAAATTTTATTTAGAAATCACTAAAAAAGTCAACTGGAGGCATTTAAATAAAGTTGTAAAGTGAAAAGTGCGACTGCAACTAACGAGCACTATTATCTCTTTCTATTCTTACTGAACAGCTGGCAAGAACCGCTATAATTGTTAAAAATAGGAGAAGAGCACGTTCTAGTTTCTAAAGTAGTTTTCTTAAGTTTCATAAAAGTTTCATATGCCCTATGGAAAGATTCCTAGATTGGGACAAATTATGACACGCACTTTTGAAACTAGCCAACTGCTAATGATAATCATCTATTATAATGCCAATTTAATTAGGGTACTATATATATATATATATTATATATATATATATATAATATATATATATATATATATAATATATATATATATATATATATATATAATATATATATATATATATATATATATATATATATATATATATATATATATATATATGTTCAGAAAGATTTCCGCGGTTAGTACAACTAAACCTATCTACCTAGGTTTAACCCATAAACCTAGGTTTATATATATATATATATATATATATATATATATATATAATTTCATTGTGTTATAGAATATCCAGAATTGTGGTATAGAAATACTTTCGGTACGGCGAAGATGGCGGAGTTGTCAACCCTTGATTTTAGGGATAGTATAAGATCACAACCCGCGGCGTCTGATCCAGAGTAGGTGGCCACAAACCTGGTGTTTAAAGGCTAAATACCCCTCACGAAAATGTCAGTTGAAACACGCAAATACCCCAGGCAAGTAGGAAATTATTCCCAGAATCTTGTACTGATAAATTATCAGTCGGTCCCATGGATTCTGAAGTGGACAAAAAATTGACAAAGACAGGAAAACGTTACCCTAATAAGAAACATATACACTTGAGTGCGACATTTGAATGCGAACTAGAAAACATAAAGTGGGACATAATCGGTTTCAGCGAAGTCAGAAGACATGGTGAACACTTATTTAAACTAAAATCAGGACCTAGTTTTTACCACGTGGTGGTAAATGTGGGTTTATATGTGGTGATTTTAACTAACTCGAAAACAGGAATGAAATCCAGCCCTACAGAAACACCACTGGAAAACTTTGGCATCGATGGTAGAAATGAACGTGGCGAAATACTGTTAAAGTTCATGCTGCAACATGAACAAATGAACAATTTTTTCAAAAAGAAACCACAGAGAAGATAGACATGACAAAGTCCTAACGGAAAAACTCAAAACGAAATAGATTTTACTATTACGGACAAAAAAACACCGTTAAAACCATCATGGTTCTAAACAGATTTAGCGATCATAGAATGGTACGAGGTAAAATAGAAATAGGCTGAAAGAAGGAGAGGTATAAGATGATTAAAAAGAAGAACAAATCAAAACTATGGATGAAACCATCAGATGTAGATAGTTTTCAGCAATGTATTTCCGACATACTTAGTAGTCCTGAAACAGAAAATAATATAAACGACTTCAAAAATTAAATAAAGAAATATCCAAAGCTGTTAGAAAAGACACTCGAAAATACAACCAAGAACATACCAAGAACGGGGACAAGGTAGATAATAAAGTTTAAAGATAAAAATGGTCATCTTACGTAAATAGTTGTAAAAATTGTCTGTAATATATGTTACACTTTTTATGGAACCTCTTCGTAAAGTACCAAGGTCCGTTCGCGCTGTATGATATCTATATCTCCACTGGAGATTCTTCTTCTTTAAGTTCCATCTTCTATCGAAGGTTGGAAATCATCATGGCTATGCGGACTCTGTTGACTGCCGCTCTAAAAAGTTCTGCACTACTGCATTCAAACCATTCCCTCAAGTTCTTAAGCCAGGATATTCTTCGTCTTCCCACATTTAGCTTTCCTCGGATTTTGCCCTGCATAATAAGTTGTAATAATGCGTATTTTTGCCCTCTCATCACATGTCCCAAGTACTCAAGTTTTCGTCTTTTAATAGTTAATATTACTTCCGCCTCATTTCCTATCCTTCTAGTTACTTCCATGTTAGACATTCTTTGAGTCCATGATATTCGTAGGATTCTTCTGTAACACCAAAATTCAAAGGCGGCCAACTTATTCAGATGAACTTGTTTGAGTGTCCAAGCTTCCAGACCATAAAGAAGAGTAGAGAACACGTAACATCGAAGCATTCTCAGGGTAGTTCTAACCTTATATCCCGACAACAAAGAAACTTTTTAAGTTTAATAAATGATGCACGTGCTATTTCAATACGTGTCCTAAAGTATTTATAGTTATTAATACTCTCAATTGCAGTATCTTCAATAGTCAATTGGATATTTGCATCTGCAGATTTAGTCATGATCATGCATTTAGTTTTCTTTAAATTTATCTTCAGTCCGTACTCATGACAGCGTTCATTAAGGCGTTGCATTACGTTCTGTAAATCATTGTTGTTATCCGTAATTATTACTGTATCGTCTGCAAAACGTAAGTTATTCAAAACTTCTCCATTGATAGATATACCTTCTATTGAGTCTGAGAGCGCTTCTTGAAATACCGCTTCACTGTAGACATTGAAAAGTAGTGGGGACAGCACGCAACCCTGGCGGACTCCTCTCTGTATTTTGATATTTTCGGTGTACTGGCTGTCAACTCTTACCTTGGCAGTTTGATTCCAATATAAATTAGATATAATTTTCAGATCACGACTGTCAATATTTTTGCTTTTTAATATATCTACAAGCTTTTTATGTTGAACTTTATCAAATGCCTTTTCAAAGTCTACAAAACATAAGTACATATCCTGATTCATGTCCATGCATCTCTGAGCCAGCACATTCAAGCCGAACAAAGCATCTCTTGTACTCATACCATTTCTAAAGCCAAATTGTGTGTCACTTATCTCATATTCAAGAGTTTTAACAATTCTGCTGTGAATTATTTTCAAAAATGTTTTAAGTGTGTGACTCATTAAAGCTATTGTTCTGTGGTCTGAGCAAGTTGTTGAACTTGGTTTTTTGGGAATTGCTACAAAGGTTGATTGCAGCCATTGTCTGGGGATTGTGGCAGTCTGATATATTAGATTAAAGAGTTCAACCATTACATCAATAACATCTTCATCGATGAGTTGTAATAATTCGATGGGCACCTCATCTGGTCCAGTGGCTTTACCCTCTTTTGTGTTTTTGATGGCATAGATGACTTCTTCTCTTAATATTGGTGGTCCAGTATCTTCGGTGATTTCTAATGACAGTTCTTCTCTTTCATCATTAAATAGTTGTTGAATGTAATTGGTCCAGTGACATAATCTCTCCTTCATATCAGTAATAATATTCCCTTTATCATTTTTAAGGATATTCGTTTTTGTACGCTTTCTAGAACCTGTCATGGAGGTTATTATTTGGCCTGCCATAGAGGCCACTGGAGATTATTATTTGGTAATGGGAAGGAAGGTCGATAAATCCCGGCGATTAGAAAGAGATGCAAGGACTGCTCGTATCTTTTTACTCTTTCCCACTTGGGGAACGTGTTTAGATTTTTTTCACAGCGCAGTCTAGATATTATTTACGTTCATTATTAAGTGTTTTTGAAAGAGAGAACTTGTTAACGATATTTAGGTTATATTTTTTTTAGGCTTTAATTGTTTTTAAATGTCAATAATTTTTTTTAAGTTAAATAAAACCTGCTACTAAATCCGTAAAATAGTTTCGAAACACAATTCAGATTTCTGCTTTAATCTGTGCTTTCTAAAAATTGCAAAGCAAAACAGACGTTGATGAAGGTGTTAAAAGAGACATGAGGAATCTAAAATTTGCGTTCCACGACATGTCTTTTCAACCAAGCGGAAATCCTTAGCGAATTGGTTTCTTGTACTCGTGCAGAGTAGATCCGAAAAAATGAAAAAGACAGCAAACATTTGATTTCACGCAAACAGCGCCTATGTATCTGTTGATACATATTTCGACCTAATAGGTCTCATCAGACAGTTATTCATAGGTGTTCTCAACGTGAACGATCAATATTTTCTGTCTTTTAAGAAGCAACACTAAAATGGCTTCAATATGAAGGCAATAGCGACATCTGATAATAAATCCGTAAAAAAGTTTCGAAAGACAATTCAGATTTCTGCTTTAATCTGTGCTTTCTAAAAATTGCAAAGCAAAACAGACGTTGATGAAGGTGTTAAAAGAGACATGGGGAATCTAAAATTTGCATTCCACGACGTGTCTTTTCAACTAAGCAGAAATCCTTAGCGAATTGGTTTCTTGTACTCGTACAGAATAGATCCGAAAAAATGAAAAAGACAGCAAATATTTGATTTCACGCAAACAGCGCCTATGTATCTGTTGATACGTATTTCGACCTAATAGCTCTCATCAGACAGTTATTCATAGGTGTTCTCAACGTGAAAGATCAATATTTTCTGTCTTTTAAGAAACAACACTAAAATGGCTTCAATATGGACGCAATAGCGACATCTGATAATAAATCCGTAAAATAGTTTCGAAACACAATTCAGATTTCTGCTTTAATCTGTGCTTTCTAAAAATTGCAAAGCAAAACAGAAGTTGATGAAGGTGTTAAAAGAGACATGTGGAATCTAAAGTTTGCATTCCACGACATGTCTTTTCAACTAAGCAGAAATCCTTAGCGAATCTTGTACTCGTACAGAGTAGTATTAGGTCGAAATACGTATCAACAGATACATAGGCGCTGTTTGCGTGAAATCAAATATTTGCTTTTTTTTCATTCAAAACCTGTTACGTTTTTTATAATCTTAAATATATCGAGATGATTTGTCTACAAAAATGTTCAGAAAAGATGAAGTTACTTCGGAATATTAATAAGATGGAGCGTTTGTGTCTAATAAATTGCACAGAGTGTTGCAAAATAAGATAAAAAACACAACTTTATTTTTACACCTCGTAAAGCGGTGACATTTCTCAGAAAACACTGATTTAATATGATGCAAAACGATGCATGACGACTTTAAAAAACAAATCTTAAACACATCAATTTTAATTTTTGAATGGCCATCAATTGCTGTACATGTTTTGGACATTACGTCATCAGTGTTGGCGTAATGACGTAATGGGTGACTTTATACATCATTTAAAATAAGAGAATTTAAATAACAATGTAAAACTAGAAGCCAAGCGCTATTCTGTATCTAATAATTTTTTATATAAGTGGTTACCTTAATTTCTCAGTAATTAGAGATCCATTTAGGTCCTGTTCTAAAATATCTTGGAATCGACTCTGTAAATTCCGCAGTTTCTCTTCATTTTTTTGAATTCGCTTACGAAGTATATCTTTTGCCTGGGTATTGATTGTTGGTTCTGCATTGAACTCTTTAAATAACTGTCTAATCATTGCTAGTTTTCTTTCCCTATCCCTTGTGTCATTTTCAGACCCTTCGTCGGAAATCCCACTGTCTGACACATAGCCTTCTTGACCGTCGTGATCACGAGGATTCTAGAATAAAAATAGTATGTAATGATTCAGTTTAGCAAACTTAACGCTTTACTGACTACATAAAAAAGAAAATGAAAAATTATAAAACCAAGTAGATGATAATCAAAGAAGACAAAACATGCAGTATCACTCAGACAAAAGAAGGTATTTTAGAGTGTATTTTCATAAGAAAGTATACGAGATGTTTAGTTCTAATCATCATGGCTATTCTGACCTTCGAGGCAGCTGCTCTCAACAATTGTCTTGAGCTGCAACCAAACCACCCTATCAGGTTGTTCAACCAGAAAACGCGTCTTCTTCCTACGCTTCTCCTACCCTCTATTTTTCCTTGAATTATGAGTCTCAAGATATTGCATCTTTCGCCTCTCATCACATTTCCGAGATATTGTAATTTCTTTTCTTTTATTATATTTTCCATTTCTCTCTCTCTCTCTGCCTATTCTCCTTAACACTTTTAGTATTTGTGACTCTTATCTACCCATGAAATCCTTAACAACCATACCTAATGTTGTTAATTAAACTTCCGTTCACTTTTATGCCGACTGTCTCGTTTACCAAAGCTTCTTGTATGATTTCTTCAGAATAAGCATTAAACAATAACGGCTACAGTATGCAACCTTGCCTGACCCCTCTCCTTATCTCCACTTCTTCTGACACTTCACTTCCAATTTTCACATTTGATCGTTGGCTGTAGTATAAATTTGATATCAATGTTACATCCCTCACATCCAGATTCTTGTTTTTGAATACTTCTATAAGTCGGTCATGTTTTACCTGATCGAATGCCTTGTTGTAGTCTATAAAGCATACATTAATATCTCGATTGTCATACAAATATCTTTGGGACAGCACGTTAAAAGACAATAGCGCCTCTCTTGTGCCTACTCCATTCCGAAATCCAAACTGGGAATCACTAATATCCATCTCCAGCTTAGCGTGTATTCTATTATGGATGATTTTAGCAGGGTTTTTAAAGTATACGACATTAGACTGATCGTTCGATAATCACTAGATTCTTTGGCATTTGCTTTCTTTGGTAGACAAATAAATGTTAAATTCCACGAGGAAACGAAGTTCCTGTAGCTGGCTGTATACCATATATCATAAAAAAATTTTGTTAAAATCCTTTATAAAAGGTATATAAAAATGCCACAAACGGGCTATCACAAACACATTGCAATGTGTTTGTGATAGCCCGTTTGTGGCATTTTTATATACCTTTTATAAAGGATTTTAACAAAATTTTTTTAAATAAATGTTGATGTCAGCATTTCACGTGGAATGATTCCTGTGGAATAGGTTGTGTTTAGTAGTTGGAATAAAAGATCTATGTTTTTTTCATTGACCAGTTTTAGCAATTCACTTGGTATTTCATCTGGCCAGCAGCTTTATTATTTTTCATGGACTTTACTGCATGTATAACTTCTGCCTTTGTTATTTCGGGTCCCTCGTCTTTATTTTGATTATCTTCATATATATTTTCCTGTCTCTGGTCATGGAATAATTCCTCTATATATTCTTTCCATCTCGATAATTTTTCTTCCATATCCACTAAAATGTTTCCTTGTTTGTCCAATAGTATGTTGTATATATAGTATAATATTGATGTTATCATATTTGTTTTGTAAGTCTTCTATTTCTTGGCATTTTCTAGCAAAATAGGTCTATTTAGCTTCTCTTATTTTCCTTCTTATTTGATTATCCAACTGTTGTTACTGAGTTATGTTGATATTCTTTTGCCTTCTTCTGTCCTCCATCATTTCCAAGATTTCTTCTGTCATCCAATCTCCTTTCTTGAATCTGCTTGTTGTGAGTTCTCTGCGACTTGGTTCGATAATTGCATTTTTAAAGGAGTGCCACTGTTGTTCTACATCACCATCAATTGATTCCGGTGTGGATTCTAGGTTTGCATTAATTTCTTGTTTCAGTTTTTGTTTGACTTGTTTGACGTCTTATGATTTTAATTTTTGTATGTTTAGTGAAGTTGGAATTTTGCTACAAGAGGATTATGGTCCGATGCCTCATCTGCACCTGAGTATGCTTTCACCGATTGTATTGCGTTTCGGTATCTGTGTTTTATTAAAATATAGTCAATTTGGTCTCTAACGATTTTATCGACCTTGTCAGCTGGCGATTTCCAAGTGTAAAGGCGTCGTTTAGACAGTTTAAAGAAAGTATCCATTACCGCAAGATTATGTTCTAGGCAGAATTCTATAAGGCGTTCTCCTCTCTCATTTCGAACACCATATATGGTCCTACAGTAGAGTCATATCTTCCTTCTCCAACTTTGGCGTTAAAATCACCCATGACTACAGCTATATTTCTATATGTTGTATTTTGTAGGGTTTTTTTAAGGTCATCGTAAAATTTTTCAATTTCTTCCTCTGTTTTATCGGCGGTTGGCGCATAAATCTGAATAAGGTTAAATTTCCCACTTTTAGTATACGAGATGCTTAAATCAATACCTGGAAAACGTTTATTGACGTTTCAATTTCCACTTCGGAAATCGTTCTCCTTGAAATGAGTTTTAAATCGTTTACCTGGATAAAATTCACTAACACCAAAACCTATAAATATTAGTATTTAAACTTACCGACTTTTTAATTTTTGGAAGTAAATTTGCGAGTTCTCTTATAGTAACAGCTTGGTCTACCACCTTTCCGTCTTTTAAAGATCTACTGATAGCGTTAATTTTATGGTCATCCATATTTAGGTCTAACTCAAACAATTCCACAGCATCATCCATTTTTTTCCAAATGGGCAACGAAAGCTGAAGTTCTTCATATTTTTGATTCATACTGAGGAAGATTAGATATTTTAAAACTCTCGTCAGAAATTTACTGAAGGTTACTTACTTTTTGTAATTGTTGTGGAATAATTCATATAAATTATCCACATATCCTTTAAGAGTGGATTTGTTCATCTCATTTGGATGCTCATTTTCCAAAATGAACTGGTCTACACTTTTATTCAATTTCATCAAATCCTCATGATGTGCTTGCAGAAGATTCATTGAACTCTATAAGAAAACATGATTTAAAGATAAGTCACTTCTACATTTATACAAAATTAGAGCATGCCTTGGAATAACTCCATCTTCTTTTGGGTGGATATATATATATATATATATATATATATATATATATATATTATATATATATATATATATATAGAATAGGGTTTAGTGTGATTGCGTTATATTTGGCTGGAAAATTACAACCAGCTATTGTTCGTCAGTTCAAAACCTTAAAGTGAATAAAATGTTTGTGTATCGCACCATAACTCGTTATAATGATATTGGTAGCATTGCCAAACGCTGTGGTGGTGGACGAAAAAAAACAGCAACATCACCTCAAATGGTTCTGAAAGTGAAGGCTCGACTTAAGCGAAATCCACGTCCTACCTACTGGTAATCAAATCACCAAATAACTGAAAATATCCCAGCGAAGCATGCAACGAATATTGAAAAAGGAGCTCAAGGAGGTCTTACAAGTTCCAAAAAGCACACAATCTTACACCAAAGCAAAAAAAAAGTTCGGCTTGAAAGAGCAAAGAAATTATTATGCCTGCACGAATGTGGCGAATTTCCGAACATAGTGTACTCTGATGAGAAAAATTTCTCTATTGAGCAGTTCATAAACTCTCAAAATGATCGTGTTTACTTGACCGAACGCACCTACGAAAGTTTGAGCTTACGAACGGCCACCCGAAGTAATTTCCCATATCAAGTAATGGTATGGGCAGCTGTAACCGCCGATGGACGCTCTCCAATCGTTTTTATTGAATCTGGTGTCAGAGTCAATGCAACTTATTATAGGGAAAATGTTTTAGAAGCTGCTTTAGAGCCGTGGACACGCAAAGATTTCGGTTGTAGATCATGGACGTTCCAACAAGACTCCGTCTCATAAAGCTAGTGTGAACCAAGAATGGTTAAAAAACCATGTTCCACCCTTCATTTCATCCACACAATGGCTTTCGACTTCGCCAAACTCAAATCCGATGAACTATTTCATCTAGTCCATTTTGGAGAGCAAGGTAAGAACTAAAAAATATGAAAGTATGGATGCACTGAAGAAAGCAATTATACGTGAATGGGCCAAAATACCGGAAGATCACATTCGTGCAGCATGCAACTCGTCTTTTGATCGTTTGAAGGCCATAGTCAAGGCACAAGGTGGTCACATCGAGCTAAAATAAGTGGATTCTGAAATTTTGATTATTTTCACACATTTTTGTTATTTGAATCAATAAAAAATAATTTCACACAAAAAATTTGTGTGAATAGGTAACAGTTCAATTGCGTAACTCTGTATATGAAGCAGAAGAAAAAGAAGAATTAGATGAACAGCCAATTCAAAGCCTCTTACTAGATACTAGGAGTAACCTTTTATTCTGACATAATCTATAGTTTACCTTTGAAAACACCATCTTTTTCACTTTATACGCAAAGAAAAGACATTAATTAAAATAAAAGTAAAATATTGAATTTCATTTCAATTCGAATTCCACCATTGTTTTACACGTGTTTCGAGGTATACAACTCTGATCAGGAATACTTGTGGTAGTTCGAACTGAAATGAAGTCTAGTATTTGGCCGTTATAATAAAAATAACACACCTGGTACGCTAGCAGCGGCATCTACAGGAAGCACAAGATATCGAGAGACCTCTATTTGATAGCGAATTAGGTGAACCGCAAATTCAAAGCCTCTTACTAGAGTCTATTTAACGATACTAGAAATTACCTTTTATTCCGATATGCATCTATATTTCACCTTTGAAATCACTATCTTGGCATCCAAACAGGGAAGTATTTTGAATTATTACCAATCGTCTTAGGGTGTAAGGACTGACTGATCCATATAACGTAGATCTGTAATCTAGGATAGACCGAATAGAGGCTTTGTATAAAGTTAAACACAATTGTGAATCTACTCCCCACCAAGTTCTAATTGTGAATTTAAAAAAAATTATATCTTTTAAACATTTCTATACTTTGTATAAAAGGTTTTTATCTAAGCTTCTTGTCAAGAATAATTCCAAGATAAGTTACCTTATAAGGGGAGAGATAATGGAGCCCTGTGGTAAACTTGTAAATGGTCGTCTTGGACCTATTACAGAAATGCTATTCGACCTTAATAAACCTTTCTTTGTGTTAGAAAAATTACACAATCTTGCAGGAACATTAGTCTGAAGCCATTTTTTTTCTTTGCATCGTAGGCACTTTTTATATCGAGGATTGCAGCACCTAAGTAATAGTTATTTGAAAAACAGAACTAAATTGTTCTACCGGTGCTTTCAGTGCATGAAATTCTAACCGGTGCTTAATAATTCGTTCAAAAGTTTTCATGACACAGGATAATAAGGAAATGGGCCGATAAGATTCTGCAAGGTTGGAATTTTTATGTGGTCTGGGGATTGGTATAATTACAACGTTTTTACACTCCTCAATGGCCGCGTTACATAACCAAATATCGTTAAAAATTTCTAAAAGAAATAATTTAAAAACAATTTGGTAAATTCGGATATATATTATAGGACAAGCAACAATTTTACATAATGCCAAAAACAGTTCGCATGAATGAATTAAAGTAGAGTTTATATATAATATATTATACATATCGTCGCTTGGATGCAGAAGTAGCCTAAGTCACAAAATGGTAATGTTACAGGAGAGCATTTTTTTTTGTTTTTTTCTCAAATTATTATAAAATTCTTTTATCAGAAAATTGTATAACAATGTTTAAGAAGCTACTTTCCCTACAGTTCATTGCTTTTATGATAAAAGCCACGTTCTAAAAAAAAGATGGACATAGAAGAGTAAAGTCTCAACTGATATAGTCTATGTCCAAAATTGGACGTAGAATATACTTACATGGAAGTACTTATGCTAGTTCTGATTAATCCATAATATTAATAATCTAATAATGTCGTAGGTATAGGTATAAATTATTTTAACAATAACAGTGTACTTACTCATAAATCGTATATTGTCGGCTTTAAGGTTTAACAAACCAGTTTCTAAAATTATTAACAACTGGGATATGTTTTTTTTAAAAAAAGGCAGAATATATTATTACTACTTAAAAAATCGAACAGATGGAACAAAAAAGAAAATAAAACAAATAAATTTAACTTTAAATTAGGAACTGAAATTAAACAATTATGAATATTTAAACATAATTTTCTGAATCTTCCTATGTTCTCTTTTCGTCATAAGGTAGGTTTTCAAAAAAGTCATGATATTGACATGATATAACTGTTTTGTGGCAAAGAAATTGCAAATGGTCGTATTTCTTTTTGGTTAATGGAATTTGCCTCGTATAGTTTGGCTTCAGTTCAATATCTTCTATATTAATTTGAAGTTTCTTTCTACCCTTTTTGACCAGATTATTATTTTTTAATTCAATGTCTTTTTGTATTTAAAAAACACATATTTGGATAGTCTGGCCGGGTTTGTAGAATTCTTAATTTGTTCCAGTGAACTTTCTTATTAGATTCATCCTTGTCCCAATTAATGGATGTTTGTCCTAGAAGTTCGTTTAAATCAAATATATTTTCTTTGTCTAATTCAACGACGTTATACGGATTGTTCCTCTTTGCATTTCTGACAATTGTGTACCATTGATGAGGAGAATGGACTTCAATATTATGTAATGCTCTTTTAATCATACTATTCTCCCTCATTTTGTGTGTGCCCTCGTTCCAGAATGCTATGGCAAATTGTTACCTTATATAATTGAGAAATGTAATGGTATAATGAAAATAAGTATTTATTTCTCTTTTGTCCGGCACAATTGTCAGAAAAAAGTAAAAACTTATTCGTAGCTTGTACAATCTTACTCTTTATAAAATTCAAAAGGCAATTACCTATTTTACAATAGGCTCTCTTGCCTTTGGTTTTCTTACCACATATAATAATTGCATTCCTTGTTACCCAGATTGAAAATAGTAAAGTTAGAAGTTGATAATTTTAGCTTATAATACGTTAATCCAACTTCCCACTTTGACACCTGAAGTAGTTGTTGGAAATCTAAAACTGCACAACAAATCTGTTGATTCTCCCTAGCTCTTTTTTTTCTGCATCCTTAAATTCCCTGGCTAAATTCTTGATTTTCAAGTGCAGTTGATACATTTCTTTAGCTGCTAATTTTTCTTCATTATACGATTGTTCGAATCCATGACAAATATCGCACAAGTCTTTCCTTTGGCTGAAAGAATGACATATTAAAATCTGAATTAAATACAGCCCTGTATGTACTTCCCGTTGCTACTTCAGTAATGTTCCTATCGGAACAATATTCCTTATATAAATAATACGTTCTGGAAATGTTAAGAGATGCAGTTAAATACAAACGTGTTGTGTTTTTTCTGCAATAGTGACTTTCAATTGTCTGAAAGGAATTTAAATGTTCTCGAATGGATTCTTTGACAGATTCGTTGAGTAAGGAGTTTTTGCAGGCCTTTTCTCTTCTGTCTTAGGAAATCGTACCAGTGAAACAAGTTTTATTAAGTACAGTTTTAACAACCTAGGTACTTATACAAAAAGTATCTAAAAAGAAAATCTTACACATAGGTACTTTGATGTTGCCCTTTATAAAAGAATAATCAAACGTGAATGTTCTTCTACTCTGTTGGTTTAGAGAAGGCGATTCTTCATTTTTCTCTAGAGCAATATTTATATTCTTTCGGTTATTTTTGTTCTTTCTTTATTTTTTCTTTGCACTAATTTTGAAACGAAATCTTGTTGTCTGTTGATGTCTCCAAGATTCTAGTAACGATCAAATATAGATTGCCTTTCTTCTTCAGAAATCTTCTAGCTACATTCTACAATGACATGGATCTTTCATTTCGCGGGATGGTTGAAGTTTATTTTTCCAAGAGATGTATTCCTTTCCGCTATTTCGAGATGTCTTTATTATATTTCTTTTCCAGGAAATCGGGTTTCTTTGTCTTTTGCGTGACTGTCTTATTGAGACTTCTTGATCAGATTCCTGATCCAACAAAACAACTTTGGGTTCATTTTCCCCGCTATCGGAGCTATTTTAAATCGCGAATAAGCCTATGTCCTCAATATCTATACGTAAATTTATGCAGAACTAGTCTATCTTCACGGTAAACTCATGCAGAACTAGTCTATGTCCGGCTAAGCGACGGAGATACGATCGGTTCACTGCGGTGCTCTTACATAGACTGATTCTGCATGAAAACTAACAACGGTACTGAACATAGGCTAGTTCGAGGTTTGATCGATATGAGCACTAGTTGTAAAGATGGACATACAATACTTCTGCATCCAATGTAATAATGCTTTTACTTTTAAATAGACCTGAAATATCGAATTAGGCAAAAATGGACATAGGCTACTTCTGCATCCAAGCGACGATATGTATATAATTATTATTGTACTTTATTGGATTACAAAAGAACTTTTAATGTGTGTAAAATGATTTTCTAGTAATTTTTACCTTAGTTATAAGTAAACACAGATTTTTAATAACCCTGATTGACCGTGGTCTTAGTCCGACTTATCTTGTAAAGTTTCGATTTGATGCCGCTAATGTATACACTAATATCAGAAAGTAAGGTTACCTGGCATAATCTGATGTGTTGTTCCAGTTGGGTATGATGATCATAACGAGTGGAAGCATATTTTAATTGGTCAAAATTTGTGCTTTTGAAGATTGCATACAACGTATGCATTTCTTCACACAGAGATATATATTGGGAAACGGCCACCGTTTTCTTCTTTAATGTCCACCAATTTTTGCACAGCCCTGGAATCAGATACAATTTATCAATATAAATAGCAAATATTATTGGGTAACTAAAATCAGGCATCTCTAGATACATTGTTTTTATCATCTTTTAGTTTCGTCATCATTAACAACGGCAGACGGACGGCATTTTGTTAAATTATTTGAAATATTTGAAAAAAAAAATGAAACAAAAGAAGAGGGCGACACACAATATATCGGTTGCTTTGGGCTGGACAACAGGAACGAAAGGGGTGAGATGTACAACTACTTAAACAACGAAAATTTATTTTGTCTCAACAAAAATCTTTCTTTAAAAAATCTAAACAACGTAAATGGACATGGATCAGTCCAGACAAGAAAACTAAGAACGAAATAGACTATATACTCTCCAATAACAAAAACATATGCACCAACGTGACAGTACTAAACAAATTCTATACCGGGAGTGACCATAGATTGGTTAGAGCGAATATTAAAATACAGACGAGAGTAGAACGAAACAAACTTATTAAAAGATAACGATACCCAACTACTGATGTCATGTTTCAAAAAGAAACAACATACCAAAAAGAGCTAAGCACACGACTAAAATCAATAGAGACACTGAAACAAATGGATATAAACTGACTAGTCAATAACATAAAAGTAACTCTAACAACATCGGTTAAGAAAATATGTTCAAACACGAAAATAGCCAAAACATCTAAACTCCAACCTAATACAATCAAATTACTCCAAGAAAGACGAAACAGAACAGATCGAATTTCGAACAGCTTCAAAGGTTTAAACAAAAACGTGAAGAAAGAAATTAGGAACGATCATTGAATCTATACTAACAATCTAATGAAATATATAATACAAGATAACTGCAATATGAAAAAACTGAAAGCACAAAACTCAAGCGGCATAACAAAAATCATAGAAATAAAAAAATGAGAAAAACGTCACCGTCCGAGAGAGAAAGGAAATAAGTGAGACCATTGAAAAATTCTACACTAGATTATACTAGGTAAATACACAAACACAACAACGACGTACTACACGAACAATAATTAACACCGGCTCAGAAGAAATACCGAACATAACCGACTATGAAATAAGAATGGCCCTAAATCAACTAAAAACGAATAAATGTCCGGGAGAGAATAAAATTACAGTTGAATTGTTGAAAATTGGTTGCAGAAAAATGGAACAGGTATTAAATATTTTAATTAATAAAGCAATTGATGAAGGAAAGATTCCTCAAGAATTGTACATTTTACTATTCAAGAAAGGAGACAAAGCAAATATCGAGAATTATCGACCAATATCCTTGCTATCACGCCTGTATAAATTACTAACTAAAATCATAACCAACCGCCTAACACATAAGCTCGATTTCTATCAACCTACCAGCAGGCTGGATTCGGACGAAAACATTTTAGTACCATAGACCACTTGCACACTGTAAGAACACTGATACAAAAATGCACAGAGTATAATGTTGGAATTCATATGGCGTTCGTCGATTTCAATAAAGCATACGATTCTATCGAATTATGAGCAGTACTTGAATCTCTAGAAAATGCACGTATAGATTCAAGATACACTAACATAATTAAAAACATATATGAAAATGTCACCATGCAGATAAAGCTGGACGAAAGCACAAAAACTAATCCCATAAGACTATAACGGGGAGTGAGACAAGGAGACATCATCTCACCCAAACTGTTTAGCCTTGCTCTAGAAGACATTTTTAATAAACTAGAATGGAACAACAAGGGTATCAACGTCGACGGATCTGCTAAAAAATTAGAAACAACGAAAAAGCAATGAAACGAATCATGCTTGGAATATCACTGAGAGACAAGATTAGAAACACCGAGATAAGACGTAGAACGAAGATTAGTGGATATTGTGGAAGAAATTACAAAAATGAAATGGATCTGGGCGATAACAAGAAGCATGGGAAGACCTCAAAAAGATGGGTAGATGATATAAGAGCAGTGGCAGGTAAACAGTGGATTAGATTTTCTTAAAGTTTAAGAAGAGTTTCTTAAACCTCCGAGAATATCGTCACAAACTTATAAGAGCTTAGGTCTCTAAATAGGCTATCAGTTGTTAAAATTGTCCTGATACTGTTTGAAAGTAGTGTGTGTAGTCTGTGTCTTCTTGTGGGTAAATTACAAGGATCATTTTCTGCAGAGTGGATCTGTGGGAAGTATGGACGCAGTTCACCTCTCAGTGTGGATGAAACATTAAAAAAAATTGACTTTGAAAAGTGTAGGTACAAATGAAAGTCTAATTTTATTATTACTGGACAATCATGAATCACATTTATCTATAGCAGCTTTCAACTTTGTTAAGAATAGCGGAATGGTGATAATGCCATTTCCCCTCTATGCGAGTCATATGCACCAGCCTCTAGAAAGAAGTGTATATGGCCCTTTGAAAAAATAATATAAGTGGTTGCACAGGATGGTTAAAAATTGATCCAGATAAGACAAAAACTAGTTCTGACATCCCAGAAATTGTTGCAGCTGCTCTTTCACTTGCTGTTCTTGATCAATTTATTGCTTAAATAGAGATATCTTCACAGATTAGGGTTATCTGACCGATCGTGAAAATCCCAATAAAACACTTTGTGTCGAAATATTGAAAAAGAATAAAAAAAGAACTCCACAGACACTTAAAATGTCTTCAAAGTCCACATAGCCAAAGCGTTATCAATAAATTATAGGTAATTATGGCCATATCTAAGGGATTATTATTCCTTGGTTTTTCCAGAAGTACTTCATCCTATACCAAAAGCTGGAAAGAAAAAATACAGAAAAGGGTAATGACGGAAATGCAGGTCTCCCATATTAACAGACACTCCAGTAAAAGATAAACTGGAAGATCAGCGATTATAAAAAGGAAAAGAAGGTATTTTTATAGTAGTTACATTTATTATCAACATTTAACAAAACTCACCCATAGTTTGGGATAGGTCTTGCCTAGACATTTTAAGCTCCTCAGGAGAATCTCTCATTTGATTGAGCATCGAAAGATGTTCGTCACATACACTAATTATGTCGTTCTAAAAATAAAAAAAGTTAAAAGTAGCAAAATGGTACTTCGTCAATATTTTTGTGAACTAACTTAAACACCAAGGTAAATACAATACAGGACGATTTAATTATTTGTAATTACTTATAAATATATAAAGGTCATAGTCTTGGAGCCAGGAGGGTTGAGTATGCACTTTTATGTTCTCTCGTTACCTTGAATTTTTTATGTTTTTTGGTGTGTAGATTTGATTTTTCGTGGGTTCTAGGCTAAAAACCAGTCAGATAATTTGTTAGGTATTAATAATTTAATTGTTTAAATGATTGTAACTCCTAAACTATTGGAGATATTTAATTTTATTACAATGAAAATTGTTCATTTTGAAAAAATAAACAAAATGGCGTTTGGTAAACTTTGATTCAATTGGTAGAACCGGAGTTATAAAAAATTTCGTAAAAAACAATTGCAAAATAGGCATTGGATGTGGTTTTTTCCAAATAATATACCTTCACTTTTATACTTAGGATTAACTTTCAAAATCCCCTCATTTTCAAAACCTAACCTAATTGTTTCAGCTTAAAACAAACTGCAAAAATACTTTATCTTTATTAATAAAAAAGTAGTAACAATAAAACATCAAAAATTTCACTAAAAAGTTACGAATTAATTTGGTTATAAGAGATTTCAACCAAAACAAACTACAAATTTTAAAAATCTGGCTAATGGAAGTTATAGAACAAGGTAAAATAAATATTTTAAGCTTTGGTAAATGATTCTATGTTCATTTTTTGCCGAGATATTAAAAATGATTTACGCGCTGTTTACGCTGCGAGCTGATCAAAGCGCGTTATTAAAAGGTCCATGTTTTGGTCAAAAATTAACATAGAAACATTATAAAGCTTAAAATGTTCGTTTTGAGTTGTTCTATAACTTTCATTGACCAGACTTTTAAAGTTTATAGCTTAATTTTGTTTAAATTTAGAAACAAACTTGGTTATGTCCACATAAACTTAGTATCACACCATGATACTATGAACTAAAGATAAACCCACGCGCACGCGATCAGTCTATCTCTTTTGCACGTGTGACGTCACTTGGCGACAAATATCACCAGAAATGTTCTGTTTTGCATGGAGTTTTGTTAGATTTAGTATTCTTTTATCGTTTATCTAGTATGTTGACAAATAAATGTGTGCATTTTTGATAAAACATATTTCAGAATATTAAATTAATAATAAACTTTTATCACCAATTGACGTCATGCTCATCGTCGTACAAAATTCGATTGCGAAGTGGTTTTATCTTGGAAGTCATAGTATCGCGGTATCAAACATAGCTACAGCCGCTACAGGTACACCAGCCAATTGGCGACGTGCACGTACTTGGATGTGATACGAGAAACGATCGTGCGCGAGTAGCGGAGAAATCTTGCATTTTTTACTGCACATTTCATAGATTTCATAAATTCATATTGTCAATTGTCAAATTGTCATATTTCATATTTGTTTGATTATTTACACCTTCTGTCACTGAAGAAAATGGGATTTAGTAAATGCTAAAATACAACAAAAATTGTCAATTTAAGTTTTATTCGTTTCCAACTTCGAAGCATAAATTACTACAACGAGAAAAGTGGATTTATATCATAAAAAAGCATAAGTAAGTAACATAACCTAAATTATGCATTATTCTTGCGCCCTATTTTAAAGTCAGTTTGAAATAAATAATAAATAAAAGTTCACTTTTAAGTGAAAATTTTAGTTTCATAATACTCACTTAGAGTTCACTTTAACCCAAAAAGCAAGTTTAATGCTAATGTAACTTTAAGTTTAGCTATGTATTACATAGCTTTGTCCATTTTTTCTTAATTCTTCCACATTCTTTACATAATTTGCCACTACTAAAGCTTTTCCCTTTGACTCAGTGCTTGGTTGAAAAGTCATTTGGTGATTTACTTTTTCAAATCCAGTTTTTATTATTGCATCCATATTAACAGTAATGCTGTAATTTAATAATGTATTTATTTGTATTTACACTACATACCACGTTTACCTTTAACTAACATACCGACATAACCTCAATCTTACTTTTTCTTCTTATTCTTTTTTGGGGCTACGTCCTTGACAGTTATCCGGTAACCTCGATCTAACATGAAAGCGCAGTAAATTTTGCTAATTTACGACACCAGGTGTCGCTCTTTCGAACTTGCACGGTACCAATAGTAGCACTTCATTCGAACCAAAACTGTTATGGGCGCTTATATTATTTATATGTTGTTACGTCGTCAGTTTTTCGCATTTTAAATAAGAATTCCTGTGATTTTAAGTGAAACCTATAATTTTTGCAGAGCCACAAAACTGGAAGGCTAACAAGGCGAAGAAAGAGAGGTAAATTCGTTTGTTTATCAGGGCCGTACCGTAATTTAGATACATGTTAATCTAGTGTTGGACAGTGTTGGACAGAACTTCTTAGAATCGAGAAGTTTTTCGAGTAACTAGAATTTCGAATTATATTCTCTTTTAAAATTGATTAAAACATAAATAATACTGTGTTAAATTCATCAATTCCTGATTTGTTTAATGTTTAAATTCGTTAATGGCTTTCACACTCACTGAAATAGGTTTACAAAAATGTGATAGGGGATGAATTGGTCATTTTGATATCTTGAGAATAAGCATGTTTTGTTGAATGGGGAATCCTATTAAAAAAAAATATTATGTAGTATGAGTTATGCAGTCGTATTGCTATTTTTTTTGTATCCCAAATATTCATAACATAAGTTTATTACATACCTTATTTGACCTCCAAAAAGATTTGTTTATAAAACTAACTTATCTGCTTATATTAGTAATCGGCAAACGCATTTAAAAAATTAGAGTACCCAGACCGAATACCTTAATAGTATAGCGACGGCTTCCGCAGCCAGTATTCGAATACTTTGGTTTAAATACTGGAGATATCTCGAGGACTTTTAGGAATCGAATATTCGTTGATTCTTGTTATTTGAGAACCTCGTCACTAGTATAATATATGACTAATATCGATGGGCGTTTGGAAAATCTCTTTTAGTTTGCAAATTATGATACCCTGATTTAGACCCACAATTTTGAATAATTTCACACGGCTTTTTATAAGAATCCTGTCAAATCGGACAAAGATGAAACTTCCCGTGTTTTCAGTAACTGGCCACTCCTATATTCCAGCAGATAGAGTGTTCGGAAACAGCGAAAAGGAATTTCGTAAAATAGACACAATACTGAGTCCAAATCAGATCATCGATATAATTTCGCAACAGGCAACTGTTGTAAAAGTAGGCGAAGATATCATAGTGTATGATTTCAAAAAGGAAGCCGAAACAATCGGACAAAGATGAAACTTCCCGTGTTTTCAGTAACTGGCCACTCCTATATTCCAGCAGATAGAGTGTTCGGAAACAGCGAAAAGGAATTTCGTAAAATAGACACAATACTGAGTCCAAATCAGATCATCGATATAATTTCGCAACAGGCAACTGTTGTAAAAGTAGGCGAAGATATCATAGTGTATGATTTCAAAAAGGAAGCCGAAACAATACTGAAACTGCCCGAATAGTGGAGAGTGTAGTTTGCGCAGTGTAAAAGATTCTATTTAAAACGATCGAAGACGATCGGAAATGTGTTGGATCAGTCGAAGAGATTTTTTTAAGAATCAAACGGGAAAGTATGAAAATGTTTGTCAGAAATCTAACATTATGAGTATGATTGCTCTTCAGAAAATAAGAGCATTAAAGGCATTAAAACTAAGGGACGTCAAAAATCTGCTATCGAACCATTTTGGAGACGACTGGCGAGACCTGGAACAATTAAGTTTCTATTCAGATGTGATAAACATTAAACTGAAATTCTGCCTGAAAACGAAAATAACATTGAAGAGTTGGAATGCGAACCAAGAGGTTTTTGTTAGTTTATTAATGTAGAAGTGATAATTTGTATCGAAACAAATATGTTAGAGAATATTTTTTTTAGTTTTACCTTTTACCTATAGTTGTGTTGGTTTATACTGTTAGCCAATAAGAAATATACATATCTAAATAAATAAATAAAAACAGCATAAGTTTTGTACCTAAATAGTTGAAAAACTGAAGAGAGACACATGATACTAGTGATACATGATACAAGATGCAAGCAAAGCTAGTAACAATAATGTTCAAAATATGTATTTTGACACATTGTACTGTATTGTATTGTAGTGAGTCTGGCAGGTGAGATTAGGTTGCGATTACACTTGGTCAAGTCCTATGAAGTTGGGATCAAAAATTGCCATGTCCACCTCTTAGGATCAAAACAGGTTACGTCCAATAGTTTTTATCAATTTGGCGCATTTTTGCTCTTCTAGTATGCTAAATGTAATACGAATAATAAAGAGTATCTTTTTTTTAATGTTTTTTAAACAGTAATTTTTAAACTTTAGCTACTGCCATCAAAAATGAGTGTTTCTTTACTTCCTGTCAAATCACGCACGATGGACGTAGCCAGACTTGATCCTATACCCCAGAATTGTTTTTTATGAAATTTGTTATGACTCTGGTTCTCATTATCGGATCAAAGTTTACCAGACGTCATTTTGTTAATTTTCTCAAAAGGAACAATTTTCAGTTTGATAAAATTAAATATCTCTAATAGTTTAGGAGATACAATCCTTTAAACACTTAAATTGTTAATAACAAATTATTTGACTGGTTTTAGCCTAGAACCCTCGAAAAACGAATCTATTCATCAAAAAACATAAAAAAACGTATAGAGGACTTAAAAGTGAATACTAAACCACCCCTTGGCTCCTAGACTATCAAACGTTAGTAAAAATGTTATAAAAAAGAAACCATGCTGATTACAATTAACACATAATACAAGAATTAAAAAATGTGTAAACAAAACAAACTAAATATAAACAATAACGACAGTAACCAAGTTACCCAGGAAAGCTAATTTATACAAGTATCTGGATATTAAGATGAATTTAGTTAAGTTCAAAAGTTAACAGAAAAATTTGAAATTAAAAAAAAAATGAGTTTAACCAAAAGGTTCAGGAAAAACATTTAAAATGAAGTTAGACAAATTGCAAATCAATATTAATTTTCAAGCATCATATAAACATTAGAGTTAAGTTAAATTAAGAAATCTCATCCAGAGCAGTGTACTGTGATTTATTGTTTCCGACTGTAAAATCCCAAGAAAAAAAAACCAAAAATACTTACGATATTTAAAGTAATGCATTGATAAAATTGCAATAAATCCTCATAGTTCATTTGGTTGATTTCGGGTTCAGTACTGAATTTTTGAATTAAAGATCCTTGGGCACTTTCTGATTCGTCTTCATGCATAGGCTGGCAAAATTTCTGCCTTCTTCTGTAAGATATATCTGATGGTTGAGGCAAATCAGACTGGTTATTCAATAAAGAACTTAGCAAATCTGGGGTAATGCATCGATATAAATATTGTAGGGAATTAGCATATTTTCGTTGGTTGATTTCTAGATCAGCTTTGGATTTTTCAAACAATTTTGCTAAAGCTTCTTGTTCATTATTTGATTCATCCTCATCCACTGGTTGGCCAAATTTGCGACTCATTTTTGGAGAAATATCTGATGGTGTAGACCAATCAGATTGACTGTCCAAAAATTTTCCATAGTCTTCCCCAAAGTTTAATAATCTTCGAGCAGCATCTGAATCCTGAGACTCACTGTACGGTTCGGACAAATAGTTCTCCTGTAAAAATTAAATACAAATTGACAGTAGCAGTTGGCAAGTTAACAGAAGTTTCTTAAGACTTACCTGATAATTATCCCAAGCTTGCTCGGACATGGATCCAGATTGTTCCCCAGGGGACAAACAAAATCGATTTCCTACACATTCGCTATCTAAATAACGAGTCATTCCTCCATACTTAAATATAGGTCTACAAATTGAAACAAATTTAAAAAATAGAATATCAAAGATATCGACTAGTGAAGACAATTAATTCTAGATGAATCCGTAGGGGAAAGTGGTCTACATATCCGATTTAGTATCAGTAATAAGGGATAGTTTGAACTATAAATCACCAATCAGTATATAGTAATTCTTGTGCCGGAATGTAAGTAGTATTTTGTTTATTTCTAATGTATCACAATTCAACAGACTTTTTTTTTACAAATTTGTGGGTTGTTACTCTGTCTGCTAATGCAATTTATGCATATTAATTAACACAGACATGTAATATTGGCATAATTACTAAAACTTTTTTTTGATCTATAACTTTTTGATCTATATCCTTATAAGACAGCACCCTAAGATGGGCTTTTTATAATTTCAGCATTTAATTTACTTTGTACCACCGACCTGATGATGCTTTGCAAATTTTAGAAAGCGAAACCGGTCGTCTGAGGTAGTTAAATTAAACTGATTGTGAGTAAGTCTAATTATTTCTTTTTTATCTTTTCATTCAATTCCTATTTAAAATTGAAATAAACTTATCTAGAAAATAATTTTTGAAACATTTGTCAATTAGCGAATTTTGGGAAACAGCGACCTCCTATAAATGCATATCTGTTTTGTAAAAAGGTATGTATTAATCTAAACTCAAATTCACTATTTATCTTATTTTTATATATAGTTTACCATCTTATTTATATCCTTCATCCAAAAATATGACAGACAAAAATTGAAACAGTAAATTACATATATCGATATTTTTGTATACCTTTTTACGTTATCTTCATCGGTATCTTCGGCACTACTTTCTACTTTGTTTAGTTTCTCACTGTTATCTTCTAAGTAATGATCACTCTCACGGCTGCTTGAACTTGATGCGTTTGCTGTACTATTTCCAGGACAGGATACGGATTTTATTAGATGTGTTATATTCGTTCTAAATGTCTCTAAGTGGGTATCAGATTTTCCAAACTGTAAAATAATATAAATTATAATGTTAGACAGGAAAATTATCACTATAATCTATATAAAGGATGACAGTATCATGAAACGAACATAAAAAGGACGATATATACCTCGATATATGTGGCCGGGACTAGCAAAACCCCACCCCTTTCATACGGGTGGGGTGGTCTTCCTCCGATGTCTTTCTTTTGTTTGATTCTCAGTCATTCGTCATCATACATCAACTTTTGCCTCCCGCATTCATGCGACCACCACGCCCGACTCTGCCTAACTTTTTCTCCTTCGCTTTCTTTCCTACGCATACCTAAATACATACTTTCCGACCGTAGTTATTTTAGCCTCATCGAGGCCCTGCCTTTTAATGAAAGGCAGAGCCACGTGTACTATTTGTCGTCGTCCGTCTGCAGCTAAGTCAACAAGCATCATTTCACTTACACTGTAGCCCTCTCGTGCCTGCTGCCATTTTCACTTCTCTCACTCTCTCATATATACTTGTCTTTACCTCTGTGACTCCAGACCCACTTCTGTCTTCTCGATAACTGCTAGAACTGCATTTAGCTCCGGCTCTTTCTTTTCTTTTATTGACAGTAGCTTTCTTACATAGTTGTGGATTTTGTTTCATTAACACTCATCTATACCATCTTCTCTACAATCTCTTACCGACTCAAACACTCTCTCTAGCTCATTCCTTTCTCTTACTCATCTGACACACTCTAACTGGATCTGTGTGGCAATGTCTGAAGTCCCACAATATAGACAATTGTCTGATTTGGTCTTTTTGAAACTGTACAAGTAGCTAGGAAGGTCCCGTATCCTGTGAGCATCTCCGTCAGATAGTAGGCTAAGCATCTGTGCTCGCAGTCAGCTAGCTCCACAGATTCGGTATCAGTGACTTCGTCGACTGAACTACATGACTCGTTGTACCTCACTCATCCTGCTACATCCCAATGGATGTAGCCCTCTCCTCGCTTCAACTTTCTCCCTTTATATCTTCCTATTTCTCCGTTCAGATATCCTTTCCCTTTCTCTCTTACCAATACATGTAATGGAACACAGCCGGTGATCATCCACAGGATATATCATAGCGAACACAGTCCTGTAAGCATTTGCTACCCGCAGCAGACTAGTTCTGTCTGCGCTTACCAAGAACCTCTTGTACTCCCGTGTTTTCACACTCGCACTCCATACTAGTGAAGTGTAGAGAATGATAGACTGCACAACTCCGTGTAAAACGGTTCTCCTTTCGGAATTGGATCCTCCGATATTGGGCATTACCCTTCCCAGCACAACCTCTCTTTCCGCCGCCTTACGGGTTACCTCTTGGTCATGCTCCCTTCAACTTCCATTTATATATAAGACCACCCCCAAGTACTTAACGTACATCTTAGGGGTGATCCGTACATCCCCACAATCAAACACCATTCTATCTCTCTTTTTCGGGAATTTAAGGACTACCGCCTCAGTTTTCTCTGTCGCGAGACTCAAGCTATAATCGTTCCAGTTCTGGACAACCGGAAACTTACCCAGAACAAGAGTTCCTCCCTGCTCCGCAGAGTGAATGCGACGAGAGTGACCCACTCTCCGAATTCGCAATCCATGATCCCGTCGTATGCTAGGTTTTACAGTACCGGGCCAAGGACGAAACCCTGGGGCACTTCAGGTGTAACGTCTACAATCACGCCTCTCTCAAATATGATTTTTCTGTAGGACCGATAATCCAAGACGATATTCATCAAATATGCCAAATAGTTTCTCGCCGGTAGAGGACCCAGCACAGAAGAGCACTACTACCCAGTAAAATTGTTTCGGATGGCGAAGAAAAGTAGAACTGCCCACTTTTTGCGGTTTCCCCTCCTCTCCACCATCCGGAATACCACCATCACGGCATCTACTGTACTCTTACCCTGCAAAATCTATACTGCCTTGGGGACAATCTTTCAGTCCTCTCTCTTACCCCTTCGATTCTCTCACGCAACATCCTCTCGTACAACTTGTTTATGCTCTAAAGAAGAGATAGTCCGATGATTTCCAGCCCCTTTAGGTAGTAGTACAGGCCACGAGCTTTTTCAAAGTTCCAGAAACACCTGTGCCTCAAGCAGGGCGTTTAAGTGACCCAAAAGCCACGCAGGCTCCCGTCGTTTCAGACATTTAACCGCCTCTCGTTATTTTGTCTATACCAAAAGCCTTGTGCGACTTAAGGGACTTCACCGCCGACGCACGTTCCTCTGAAGATAAGGGTATACCTCGCTCTGCATTTATGCGCGCGCACGCCATGCCAAGTTGAATGCCAGTTGATGCTAACGATCGATTTTATTTTTAACAGGTACATTCTTGTAATCTGGATGGGATAGGTCGAACAATATATATTTTTTTAAAATTTCAATGAGTTTTTCGATATCCATTTTTATTGGCATCGACGCAACCAGCGGTAAACGTAAATTGCTGCATTCTCATCGCTAAACTAATTATATTGCCACGTTTCCCGTCAGCACGATGAATAAATTCCTTTGAACGCCAGGAGGTCGTTGTTTGTTTCAGACGAGTTGAATTGCGGTTGCTATCGTGAATGCCATCGCGTCGTGATCGCTTAGGTGTGTTTTCTGCTTCGTCACTTGCCAAGCAAAGTGAACGTGAAGGTGATCGGCAAACCTCAAGCCGCGGATTTTGCGTTAAAGTTGCCTAGCATCACGCTTTCCCTACTTCTTCCATTATTTCATTTATTTTCCATTCAAAATTAATACCTACTAGATTTGGCGAGATATAGCAGCAAATGAGACTCACTCTCTACAGCATTACACACATGAAGCCCATGTGAGCTTTAATCTCTCTCACTCTTAACTTTGGGTTTCGGATCTGACCAAGGTGAGGTTTGGTTTCGACGTCACAAGAATGTCAAACATTCCGTCAAGGGCGGAAACAACGGCTAGATAGTACGCCAATCTTGCGGTTCCCACGTTGGTCTGCAGCTCTCCACTCATCTTTTTTATGCTGTTGCTCTTGCTACAGATTGTCCCGACCCGCCACTGGTCTCTTTCTCTTACCAATACTTACTGACGTCCATCTACGCCCCATGTCCATCTGGACCTCCGGCACTAGAGGCGATCTAGTTATCTTCTCGCTCTTGTTTTTCCTCCCTAGAGTGATTGCGATTTCATTCCGGGGGCTCCGTTCGAGACCGTCTAACGCTTAGCCATTCACCACTTTGGCACGAATCGCCCTAAACCGTGTGGTTGCGGATTATTTTATCGAGGTTTAATCCTTTCAGTAGTGGTAGCGCTTTATGACAACACCGTACCCGTTTTCGGATGCGGTAACACTAGCTGGCACCTAGTGTTAGTGTAAGAAAGGAACTCAGACGATTTCCCTGAGTCCTTTATAGCGAAAAGGCCAAAAGCCGAAGAACAAGAGTTTGTCCAAGGGAAGAAGATAGGAAAGATTAAAGTCATTTTAAAGATGTAACTTACTTTATTTAGGTCACTAAGGTTACTAAGTCAATGGGTTACTAAGTCAATGGGTTACTAGGTTTACTAAGTCAACCTGAGGAATTTGGATATTTTTTAAAACATGTGGTAAAATACTTACCAATCGTCGTCGCCTAAGTTTTCTTTTTTTGTTTGAGGTCTCTTTTACGGGTAGCTGGGGCAAAGCTTCTTCAACTGTAGAGGACGTAGAATTATTAGAGTTGGTGTTAACATTATTAGTACTAACTGATGAAGAAGGTAGTTCTTTCTGAGAAAGATCCAGTTTATGAAGCGCAGATTCTGATATCGAAAAATTATTCATACTAAAAATAAAATATAATAATTAAAATATGCTTAAAATGTGACAATCCGTGGGAGGTGGCTGTATATCATATTAGTAAAAAACTCGAACATTAAAGTAAAAAACTTCTGTTGTAAATGGCATATATAAATAAAAAATATTTAATTTAAAAAATTTAAAAGGATTATAATTAAGTTCAGGGTAGTTTCAGACTAATCAGTCTATCTTCAGTAAACTTTTGGAGTACTTGCGTAATTAACTGCAAAAACAATCAGTGGTTAGGTTAACATTGAAGATAAGTTAAGATATTAGACCTCAACTAGCGTTGTGGGGTCATTCGGACCCCCAGTACTTTTTAAATCCATGTAAAATTTGCAAATTTAGCATTTATGCTCAGCCGCACCATCTACCTTTAAGTTGGTTCACTCGTAAGCTACTCCGATAGACACGTCAACTGTAATTCAGTATTGCTTTGAATATATAGCGGTAAAGTTCATTTCAAAGAGTGTATTTTGGAGAGCCTAATTTTGATGGAAGTGTAAGGCGGTGGTATGATGAATTAGAAAGCGAGTTTAGTACATATGAGGACTACAACAACAACAAAGATTTTTCTCCAAAGAATGACCATAACTCTGAGTCTAAAATGGAAGATAAGGAAGACAATGCTAAACTACAAGAAAGTCAGGCTATAGGTGAAGAAGAGGGGCCAGAAAAAAACTGGAAAGTTTTATTTTGGTGAAAATCGATACAAGTGGTCTGCTATTCCGGCCCATCCAGATAAGAACAAAAAACCACAATTTGGTAAAAGTTCTTCCAGGGTTGCAAGGACCTGTAAAATGTGGTGATGTCTCTGAAACGAAATAATTCTACGGACAAATGAAAAGATATTGTTATTTCAAGATACATTTAGCAATTCTGACAATCGTTTTTTCATCCATAGAAGTCATGAATGCATTAAAAAAATGAGAACTGGACTATGTTGGCACTCTCAAGCGAAACAAAAAGGAGATACCTATACAGTTCCTTCCGAGCAAAAAAAAGGGAAGGCAGCTGTGTTAATATCATCAATGCACCATACCGAATGTGAGGACATAGAATCTGGTAAACCAGAAATCATTTGCTTCTATAATCAAACAAAAGGCTGTAAGGATGCACTAGATCAAAAATATACCACATTTCTACTAACCGGCGAACTAGACGATGGCCAATGGCTATTTTATTTACAATATTGAATATTGCAGGTGTCAATGCACACATTTTACATTGATGTTATAAAAACAACCAAGCCATAGAGAGAAAAGCATTTGACAAAATTCCTGCAAGACGATTGCATCGATTAGCTAGGGAGCTTCGCATGGGTATTAGTAGAATACTAAAGAAAGCTTTACCTGAAACAGAGAGGTGAGAATTAAATAATCAGAACCAGAAACGAAAGAGATGTATCTGGGATCGAAAAAAATGACAAAAAAAAACAAAAATGTCGTGCAGTCAACCCATGTGCGGCGACTGCAGGGTATACGCAGTTTTGCTGATAATAATATATTTTAATTAGAGAGTTTGTTCATTTTAGTTCCTTGTTCTTTATATGAAACCAACAAATCAAGAAAGAAATAGTGATTTTATTTTTTATATTTCTTTTGTAACAAATTATGTTTTGCCGTTCATATTATTCTTTGTTGGGAGTGAAAATAGTTCCCCTTAAGTCACCATTTCTTTGCTATATTCTTGATCGACTTATTGTAGTAGCTATCTCTCTCGGTATACCTTGTATTACTGATGTGTTTGTATTGTTACGAAAATGCATTCAGCGCGGCCCGTCTAACGGTTGCATCTCGAAGCATCTCGGCCTCGAGAATCATCGATGGATAGATCCCTCGAAGGCAAGAGAACGATCGGTCACGTATACGCCTAGAGGTGGGAACTTTCTAGAAAATAGTAACTTTGGTATATATATGTAACGATCTTAGGAGTTAGTTTAGTTGATAAGATAGTACCGAACTGTAAAGTTATAAATAAATATATTTATATAAATCCGAACCGCTCGTTTTATTTAATCACGCTACAGTTGGTGTCACCGTGTGAGAACAATTGATTTATTTAAAAATAAATTTAACAGTGGAAAAAAAGAGACTTTTGAACTTTTGAAAAGTATTGTTCGTCGGGAACATTCGCGTAGTTTGGTAGTGATCGTTGTACGAAAGAACATTATAAAAGTACGTGTGTGCCTGATCAAAGATGCTGCTAGTAGAACTTTCAGTGAAACAGTTGCGTGAGCAACTAGAAGAACGCGATGAAGACTGCAGCGGGTCCAAGAAGATCCTCCAAGAACGACTGAAGAATGTTCTTAACAATAATGGAGATGACCCAGATACATTCCAGTTCCAGTCAGCAGAAGAAGCAGTTTTAACAAAAATAAAAAATGTGTCGCAAATGATTGAAGAATCTTCTATAAAACATGATAATAAATTAGATAATGTTTCCAAAAGATTCGATGAAACATTCGAAAATGTATCTAGAAGATTCGACGAGACTTCACAAATAATTAAAGAAATATGTATTAAGAACAATAAAAAATTTGAAGAAGTCTCTAAAACATTTGATAAAGTAGAAGAGAAGATCAAACAGTTAGAGAGCATGATAACCAATACAAAAGTGCTACCACCAGTTAATACAGTAGCTTCAGATCCGGTAGTAAAAGAAGAATCACTGAGAGAAGAAACGACACATCATATGAGATTCAAATTGCCACCATTTGATGGAAAGTCCTCTTGGTCTATATATCTAAGACAATTTGAAGCTATTGCGACAGCCAATCATTGGACAGAACAAGAAAAAGCTGTTTCCTTGACTTCTGCTTTACGAGGTGATGCTGCAGATATCCTAAGATCGATTCCTAAGGGTCAAGAAAAATGCTACCAGACCTTGTTCACTCGACTAGACAAACATTACGGAGATGCCCATCTACAACAAGTCTACAAAGTACAAATAAGAAGTAGAATTCAACGAGCAAGTGAGAGCTTGCAAGAATTTGAAACAGATATTGCTCGTATAGCGCTGTTGGCCTATCCAGAGGCACCAGACAACATTTTGGAAGAAATTGCTGTAGATGCCTTCGTCAATGGGTTGAGAGACAGTGAAATACAGAAAGCTTTACGACTAGCAAGACCAAAAGTTTTAGATGAAGCGCTCGCCATTGCCTTGGAACATGAGATAGCTAGTCGAGTTTCACGGAGCTATCAAGTACGAACCTCTGAAGAAAGTGACGAACGAAACGATAAACGTCTAGAGGAAATCGTACGGAAAGTAGTTCGTAACATGATGCCGAAGAGACGTGAACCCAGATGTTGGAATGGTAACAACGAAGGTCACATTCGCCACAAAGTGCAAGAAAATAATACAACAGTCAGAAAGCTAGAACAGATCGAGCACTGGGCTGGAAAAAGTCATTCAAATGCTGATGTTCAATCAAGACGGGCATACAGTGCAAATCGTAATCATTGTCTTGAATTAGAACAACGACTTTGCCCCGTGAGGCGAACCACCGTTATTAATGATCAATGGCAGCCTCAACAGCTACAAGACGCTCAAGCAGATGATTCATGTATAAAAAGAGTATTGGATTGGATGCGTCGAAGTGAAAGGCCCTCTTGGTAAGACATTAGTGCATGTAGTCCTGAAGTCAAGTGTTACTGGAGCCAATGGAATTGCCTAGTGTTAAAAGATGATCTTCTTTATAGAACCTTTGAGAACGATGATGGTACAGAATCTAAGCTTCAGTTGATTGTCCCTAAAAGTAAAGTGTCAGAAGTATTGCGTCAGTTACATGACGGTGCATCAGGTGGACACTTTGGTATTACGAAGACTCTGCAAAAGTTTCGAGAACGGTTCTATTGGGTGAACTGTAAAGATGATGTAAGAAGATGGTGCCGGAAATGTGAACTGTGTGCAACCAGTAATGGTCCAGTTGGTAAAAAGAGGGCTCCCATAAAACAGTACAATGTTGGTAGTCCTATGGAAAGAGTAGCAATCGACATTGCAGGTCCACTTCCAGAGACAAATGATGGAAATAAATATATCCTGGTAGCCATGGATTATTTTACGAAATGGACTGAGGCCTATGCGCTACCAAATCAAGAAGCTGCTACCGTTGCAGAGGTACTGGTTAAAGAATTCTTTAGCCGATTTGGTGTTCCCTTGGAGATCCACTCCGACCAAGGGCGAAACTTCGAGTCAAACCTTTTCCAAAACGTTTGTAAATTGATTGGTGTCAATAAGATCAGAACGACACCCCTTCATCCTCAATCAGATGGAATGGTCGAGAGAATGAACCGAACGATGGGTAAACACCTGTCCAAAGTTGTATCAGAACATCAAAGAGATTGGGACCAGCACATTCATTTATTCCTAATGGCCTACCGCTCGGCTGAAATGAAACTACGGGCCAGACTCCAACCTGCCTGATGTTAGGTCGTGAAGTTCGTTTGCCCTGCGACCTGGAGTTTGGCTGCAGACCTTCCGAAGAACATGTTGCAAGCGAAGATTATGTCGACCGCCTAAAGTTAAGAATGAACAACATTCATGAACTTGCCCGACAACACATCCAGTTAGCCAGTGACAGAATGAAAGATCAATACGATTCACGATGCAAGAATGAAAGCTATGAAGTAGGTGATCTTGTTTGGCTTTATAATCCCCAACGTCGTAGTGGCTTGTCTCCTAAACTGCAAAGACAATGGGAAGGTTCGTATGAAATTAAAAAGAGAATAAATGACGTAATATACCGAATTAAGAAGTTGCCGAAAGGTAAACCAAAAGTAGTTCACATAAATCGTCTTGCACCGTATGTTGGCTCAAACGAAACCGAAGAAGCCCGAACCCTTCAACATGAGATCAAAGATGATCGGCGACCAAGCTTTAATGAGTTTATGTCAAATTACGCAGAGAGAAAGAGTGCTAGATTCGGCGTGACGACAGAAGTTCAGCAGGATCTTTTTAGTGTTCCGCATAACGTCACTCTAGCCCACTGTGTTGCCCAAGATCTTGAGATGACTAAAGGAATCTCATCCGTATTTCATAAGAAATTTGGTCGCTTGGACGAGTTAAAAAACCAGCAGCCTAAAGTTGGAAGAGTGCTGAGATTAGAAGATGGTTCTCGATCTTTGCTGTATATGGTGACCAGGAAGTCGTATACAGACAGGGCAACCTACGAGGATATATGGTGTGCTCTAACTAATTTGAAGAAAATCGTCTGCAATTACGACATTAAGAATTACTTAAGCTTAGGCCTTACCCAAGATAGGCTATGCACTAGATAATCTGGATTGGAAGATTGTCAGAAGCATGCTTGAAGTGATCTTCCGAGAAACCGGCGTAAGAATTCCTGTGTGTTGTACTAATCCGAAGAGATCGTGTCCTTTAAAGACAGTAGACTGTTATTTCTTTCTGAGTATATTCGATTTTAATCTTTCTTAATTTTTATAAGGCGAATAGAAAAAACAGCAAAAAAGACAAAGATTACTTTTATAAAAAAAAATTTAAAGAATACTTACGCATTGTTCGTAGCCGCAGCAACTCGCGAATGTCCCAACCATTGCTTATTGTCATTATCCGCTAGATCATAAAAGGAGTTAGCTGCTGCCTTTAAAGTAGCGGTACTAGAATCAAAGTCATCGGAATGGTGAGACTCTTTCTCATCTTCTTCACAACTAGCATCACAGCTGTTATCCGTTTCAATGGATTTGGACCATTTGTCACCCCTTTTAAAGCGAAAATCTGAACTTATTAGTTCTTCCGCTTTTTGTACAAGTAATCGTATGGTATCTTCTGGTACAGATTTTGGCCTAGGAAGACTTAAAAAAAAAATAAATATGTAAAAAAAGTAAATGTTGACTGATTTTCAGAATGTATACTGAGTAAACAACTTTTTATATGAGAGTATCAAATAACGAGTAGATAATAATGATGAGCCCAAGGAAGAAGATCAGAAAAAACTAAATATTATCGCCAATAATGAATACAGACCGGTATGTACCAAGTCCATTATCAACTAGTATACAAAGCACTAAAAAACGGCCTGACGATATGAGCCGGGCCACTGGTCCAGCTGTAATAAGCTTAGTGCCACCGACCTTTTGAAAGTAATCAACATTATACATAGTATATCTCAAGTTAGTCTGATAACTGCTGTGGCTAAATTAAAAGTATTTAACATTATGTATTTCTTCAGATTATTATAAAATAATGCGGTTACACGTATGTATTATGAGTATCACAGGGATTTTGATATGTCATATCGAAAAATGTAAATAAATTTAAAAGTGACACCTCAAAACTTTTATTTTTAAAGTTTTTAATGATCTATACATTATTGCATGTTATACTCTGATGCATATTACTGAAGTGTTTCAATAGTACTACGTTTTTTTTCTTTTTTCTTCAGTCTCTTTTCCCAAAATTAAAAAAAAATATGTAATTATTTATTATTTATATTAATTAATTATAATACGAGATTTTATGGCACATATTGATCGACATATGGACGAGATTAACAAAAACCTAAATAAAAACCTTCTCCCAGTAGGACTACAGGTCGCAAAGAAAACAAGGACTAAAGAAGACAAAATAAGCAATGAAACTAAACAGCTAATGACGGAAAGAAGACAACTACTAGCGCAAAACAAACGCCATACTCAAGAATATAGAGAACTTAATAAAACAATTAGAAAAGAACTAAAACGCGACATACAAAAATGGAACGAGCACTTAATAGAGCGAGTCATTGAAAACAACACAGGCTTAAAATGTCTTAGATCCGCACTGGGAGTTCAAAAATCATCAAAATTAAAGACGCCAACAATAAGGTAAAGAAGGACAAATATAAAAGAAAAATATTGTCGAAGACTTCTACAGCTCGCAAGGCCAGCCTAATAAAACAACAAAGGAGAACGTCTAAAGAAAAATAAAAAACGTGGGATCAGAAGTACTACGAAATATAAAGGGATACGAAATAGAAAGAGCTTTAAAAGAACTAAAAAATAATAAAGCTCCAGGACACGACGGTATAATTGCCGAGCTCTTGAAAACAAGCAAGACATTAACAATCCCTGTATTAACAGAGCTATTTAATAGATGTCTCCATAATAGCCAGATCCCTAAAGACTGGAACGAGAGTCTAGTAATACTCTTACACAAAAAAGAGGACATATGTGATCTACAGAATTATATACCTATATCGTTGCTCAGTCAAGTACACAAACTATTTATGAGAATTATTAATAACCGGTTAACCTACAAAATGGATAATTACCAACCGGTTGAACAGGCTGGCTTCCGCAAAGGATATAGTACATTAGACCATCTGCTGACAATGAGAACATTGATAGAGAAGGCAAATGAATACCAACTATGAAAAGGCGACTGAAAAGAAAAAATTTCTCGCACTTGAAGCTAAGCAAACCTTGCAACCCACTCACTCAGTTTCTACACAACCTGTATAATCTGGCATCAGCTTGGTCCCAGTCACTAGCAAACATGTTCATAAAATGTAGAGTATCAATATGATCCAAACAGAAACCACAAATGACTGGAAGGAACTAAAAGACATGTTACACTAATGCAATAGATGTACACAAAACTGTTATCGCTCAATTCTCAAAATGAATAAGTTCAAGAAAATAACCATTTGGAACGCCAATGGACTAGCATAACATGTCAATGAGGTCTTTATAAATCACAATATTGGTATAATCTTAATATCTGAAACTCATTTTATAAATCGAAGCTACATCAAAATTCCAAACTGGAACGGTCCACTGACTGTTAGTACATTTTAAACTCCACCACGGCATACAATAAATAAAGAGCAATATCAAGAGTTTTTCAACACACTCAGCAATACGTTTCTTGCAGGGAAGACTGCAATGCTAATCACACGTACCCGGAATCTAGAATAAGAAATCCAGAAAGGCAGACAACTGTTTATGGCAATGGATAGTAATAATCTTAGATATATATCAACACGTGAACATACTGGCCAACCTATACCAACAGAATTTCAGACTTCGTGGATTTTTGTGTCACTAAGGGAATTCCACCTGAAATTCGAACAGTACAATCTTGTTTTGAATTGTCATCCGACCAATCTCCTATCATGGTTATGATATCCATAGAAATTTTTGAGAAGGAACATTCAGCATTCCTATGTAATAAATTTACGAATTTGGAAATATTTCAGAATATTATTGGTAACAAATTGGGTACAGAAATACCTCTTAAAAGTAACAAAAATGTAAATAAAGCTGTTAAACAATTTACTAAAATAATACAAGAGGCAGCTTGGCAGTTAACACCAACCAAACCGTTGCAAACCAAACAACAACACCTGTCTAATGAAATCAAAGAACAAATTTCAGAAAAGCGAAGATTAAGAAAAACAGACAGAGAACACACACGCCCAGGATAAAACTGAAGTGAACCACGCTTCCGCTCAATTCAAGGAAGAAAATCTGTTGGCCGAAGGCAGAACTCATGATTAAAGAATCTACATGATTGGTATCAATGCAGATCGATTGATTTGTTGAGAGCAGCAAGTTCTAAAATAAAAATAGCCATTATGATTGCCAACCTCCGTAGGGAGACGGCACTCTAAGAAGAAGACCGCTCAATTAATCAACCCTCCTATTTAAACAGGTAATAGAAGATGGACTAGGAGCAACAAAAAAAGATGCCGAAGCGTTTGCCGATCACCTATAGATAAATTCACATTCAGATGGCAGCGTTACAGAGATGTACTTTCTATATGCCAGAAATAACTACATTGTTGTCAGTTTTTAATCGTACCTATAATCGTACGTTATGGGCCGGCTCCTATAAAAGAATTATAATTTCGGAAATATTTATGAATGTGAAACGGAAAAATACTACATTTTTTTAATTATATAATTTTTCTGTTGGTATTTTAAAAATAGAAAGTTATATTTCGGAAATCTGGTCTTTTCGGAATTATATCTTCTGTTCAAAATTGTTTACAATTCGTGGAAATGAAATAATTATTTGTATAATCCGTTTTTGATCTTAATGTCCTTTTAATGACACACTTTCTCTACATACACTAATTTTTGGACAGTAGACAACATTCAAGATGACATTGAACCTATTAGAATTTCATTAAACGATGACTCTGAACATGAACTAGATTATGAAAATGAAGATGATTGAAAATTGTTTTTCGGGGGTATTCTTTTCTCAGTAAAGGTAATAAAATATTTAGTTGATCTGGTTGAAATGTAGCACACTTAAATAACTCATTAATCGACATAATTTCAAGTAGTTATATTAGACGTCATTATGCAAAAAATAAAGTTATGAACATTTAATAAATTAGTGCACAATTGAGGCCCCTAGAACACAAGGGGTGTAAATGCCAAAAACAAAGTTTTGAAAAATCTTTGTTCAAAGTTCGATATAAATTTAAAAACCTAGGTAGCACTTTTTCAGTTTTCAGCATGTTTTCAATGACATGTAATTTTTGATGGTGTTATTGTTGTTAATGTAGAAAGTTTGAAGCCAAAAGTACGTGCCTGTTGTTAGATATCAGTTGCTAAGTGATAAGCAACTGCACTTACACCCTTGTGTTCTAGGGGCCTCAATTAGGGGTTTTTTGCAATTATCTCAGTCATTTGTTTATGTATTTTAATTTACAAACTAAAAAATTAAAAAACTTTTTAAGATCTGCAACATTTATTTGAAACATTTTTCCCTAAAATGCACGAGGAACAAAATAGGCAAAAAAATGATTTTTCCAAACTTCATCTTTCTTTAAAAAATAAACAAAGCAAAATTGGCTGTAATTCTTTAAGGAATTATCATCAGTTATCCCTTATCTACCGTTTAGAACATTAAAAAACCTGTAGAATATTTTTCATATTTTTTTCCCTATTAACTGCGGTATTATGTATAAAAGCATTTTTGGAATTATTACCATTTATTTCATTCACGAATTTTCTATTAACAACTTTAGCTTACCTAAACATATCTTAGTTTACCGTGAGTTTGGCCCTGCTTATTTTACAAAAGTAGCAAAACTTACAATGGCAGTAGAATTGGCAACGCTGTTATCCTATATCCGTACACTGCCACCTGAACGTGACTTTATCTATAGTGAATGTGTTTCAGTCAAACGCTCCAGACAACCACATCCTTGACATGTGGTCAACCTTGGCCACATTACATAAATTCCTGGATTAGAGAGTACTTTTTCCCCCACAGTCTGGGCTATCTCTCCCATTTACAAAACAATGTACACAAATGATACGCTATTTCTTTAAACTTCAAACCACAGTATGGCAATAAGTTTAACAAAACACATTATTTTTTATAATTTTACTAAAAAAAGAAATCGGTTGTCTTTCTCAAAAATAAAAAACTTAAAAATTACGTGTTTTGCACCTATAAACGCTCATAAATAAAGAATAAAACAAAATTGTGTTGAATGAACTGGGGGATTGCTCCTGAGGTTGCCCTTTGTAACCTATTCCACATTAAATACATTCCTGGATTACAGTGTAAAATCACCCTTTTTTCCCCACAGCCTGGGCTAAAATATTAACTTCGAAAATATTGTGTCTACCTG